ATTTATTTATTTATTTATTTTACTTCTCTTGCCTTTAGAGTCAAGTTCACAAAAACATCTCTGAGACCAAGGTCTGTAAGCTTAGTGCCTATGTTTTGTTCTATGTATTTTATCACTTCAGGTCTTCTATTCAAGTCTTTAATCCATTTTGAGTTAATTTTTATGTATGATGGCAGATAGCAATCTGGTTTCTTTTTTTTTTTTCTTAAATGCAGCTTTCCAGTTTTCCCAACACCATTTACTGAAGAAATTTTCCTTTCTTCATTTTATGTTTTTGGCTCCTTTGTTGAAAATTAGTTGCCAGGTATGTGTGTGTTTATTTTTGGACTCTCAATTCTGTTCCATTGGTCTGTGTATCTGTTTTTTTCTGCCAATGTGATATAATAAGACAATAAATAGCAAATGTTGGAGAGAATGTGCAGAAAAGGGAACCCTCATATACTGCTGATGGAACTGTAAATTGATACAGCCACTACGGAAAACAATATGGAGATTCCTCAAAAAATTAAGAATAGAGCTATCACATGACCCAGCAGTCCCTCTTCTGGGTATTTACCCCAAAATTTTGAAAACACTTATTTGTAAGTGTACCCTATGTTCATTGTTCAAAATAGCCAAGACATGGAAACAACCTAAGTGTCTCTCAATAGATAACTGGGTACAGAATATGCAGTACATATACACATGCCACTCAAGTAATCTTAATGTCTTCTATATCTGGTCACATGACAGGCCCCTGATTTAGCTAATTGCTTATCTGAGAGTTGATAAATCTGCTAATATATGGCATAACCAACTAGGCTTTATTTCTGGAATGCAACAGAATGTTTCATTGTTAGAAAGCCATTCATTCATTTACTCCTCTATTCAATGCATTTACTGAGTACCTAATATATACCATGTTTTGTTCTCCGATGCTGTGGTTACAGCAGTGACTAAAACAGATCTAAATCTCTAATCTCATGGTCTTTACATTGTAGTGAGAGAGCCAAACAATAAACGAGATAAATAAACAAAATATATAGTATATTGTTAGTGATGCATACTAAAAAGAAAAAATAAATAAAGGCAGGAAAATATTTAAAAGGTTGAGATGGGTTGAAATGTTAGATAGAGTGGCCAGAGAAGGAATCTCTGGAAAGCTGACCTTTGAGTAAATACCTGAAGTCAGTGAGGGATCTGAGTGTGTTGATATTTGGGGGAACGATATCCCAAGCAGGAGGACAAACAAATGCAAAAGTTCTAAGAAAGCAATGAGCCCAGTATGTTCCAGGAACATCAAGAAGGCCAGGATGGCTGAGCTAGAGGGAGAGCAGTAGAAAATGAGGCAGAGGGGTGATAAGGTTGTAGAGAGTGGGGCTTTGTCAGTTCTAATAAGAACATTTGTATTTACTCTAAACATTATGAGATGTGGGTGGGGAATTTGAATGTGGAGGACGTGTTGAAAATAGACAATAGAGAGACGAAAGTGACAAGGGAGGCTGGTCTATTTACACCATTTATTGCAACAGCAAACTGAGGAAGACAAGAAACCTTACAATCAAAGTATTTATTAAACTTACCCATTCTTAAATTAAAAAAAAAAACTGTTAATAAAATAGGAATAGGAGGAAACTTCATTTATGCAGTAAAGAATTATATATAATTTAATGAATCATTCTTTGTTAAATTAAATTAGATATAAAAGAAAAGTCCTTAATCTTATCAAGAATATATCAGAGACTCTTCTGACCTGGCATACTTCTCACTTCTTGTGGGCTACCAAGACTACAGAAGTTATGACTTGCCTCCACTCACTGACATTTTTTTGTACCACCCTTTTTTTTTTTCTTTGCAGTACTGGTAAACATAAGTCAAATTCTTGAAAAAAGGAAAGGATATATCAAAAACAGCAAAATTTACATTAAATGATGAAACAAAAGAGGCATTCCAACTTTCTTTAAGAACAAGATAAGGAGGCACTAAAGCACCACCATTACTCAACATAGTTCTGGAGGTTCCGGTCAATGTAGCACATACAAAAAAGGAAAGAAAAAAATAGTATAAATATTGGAAAGGAAGAAATGAAAAATAAATCATAATTTGCAGATGGTTATATATACATACCTCAAAAATCAAAGGTATCACCTGAAAATTATTGGAATTAATAAGACAGATTACAAAAATTGACAGGTACAAAATAAATATATAATAGTAGAACATTTTCCTTAAACAAAAAATTTATCTATCAGAAATTGTAATTGGAGAAAGGAATAACATTTCAGCAACGAAGACTACTAAATACCTAGGAGAAACCTAACAAGTAATAGGAATTACTTAGCTGAAGAAACTTATGAAATTTGATTAACCAACACAAAAATAAATCTGAGCAAAGTGAAGATATACCTTATTCCTGAAAGGGAAGTTTCAATGTCATGATGTCAATATTCCTCAAATTAATTTGCAGATTTTCTGCAATTACAATACAAATTTGAAATACTTATTACTTTACTGTTACTCAACTTGGAACCTGATTAATTAGCACAAATGCACTTACTAATATGTGCATAAAAAGAAGTGGAAATTATTAGTAGTGGCTGAGAGTGGGAAAGATATTAAAGAGTTCTTTTGCTGTATACTTTATGTATTTCCTTATTGTTTTGAATATTTTAACCACTAATATATATTACTATTATTATCAAAGAAAACCCCAAGACATTCTGAATCTGAACTATTATATATAACACAGACTCTCTAGGCCATTGTATTGGTTCTCATTGTTTAGGGGAGGGGTTACAAACCCCTTGAGAAACTGATAAGTTCAATTACCTCTATTTCCAGAAATAAAATGCTCTTAACTACACACACACACACACACACACACACACACACACACACACACACACACACACACGTAGAATTCCTGGTAGACCACAAATGTGGCTGAGAACGCCTACTCTAGGTTCATCAGAATGTTCCGTTGGGAGATTCCCTTGGACTGGGGCATACTTTGACTAAGGGGGGCACTAAAGTGGACATGGGCTGCAGGCCACAACCCTGCAGCAAGGCTAGGTTCTCTAGGTGTCCTGAGGTAAGGAAGTCAGAGGTGAGAAGATGCTGCACCTCTCAGGCCAGGTAGTAGCACCAGACAGTGTTAGGAGCAATGTTATCTGAGGCACAGTGCATGAGAGCAGAGCAGGCAAACCTGGGTGCTTCCCCCAGCAATCATTTCTCCAGGCTTCATGGAAACCCACAGCTGCAATCCTTTCTATGCATACTTGAGTTAACTCGGTGGGAATTTCAGGGAGGGAGGGAGGAAAGAAGCAAAATACATTTACTTAGATTGATCACCTAAATAAAGGTGGCACTTACCACCTTGGTCACTCGTCCATGTATACCTTTGCAGTGAGCAACAGTCAGGTGCCTGACTGCAGGGGATGAGAGGCTCCAGCATATGGGAGAGGGTAAGGGGCAGCACCTCCTCCACACCCTTGACAGACAGGGGGATTTGACCATCTCTGCATCCCTCACATCTGTCATTTCCCTAGGCTGACAGCTCTTCCTTTTGCCCAGAGCTGAATCACAAAACTGGAACTTAATCCAGGACAAGTGTTCAAAACTGTCATGGTTACAGCCATCAAATTATAGGAAGTTCACACAGCAGTTAACAATGGTTTAGGAACATTAAAATAAATGTGTTTCTCTAACAGAACAAGACAGGATCATTTATTTGTCTAACTTAGAAGCTGTCCCAGAAGAAAAAATAGGATATTATTTGGCCAAAATAAATAAAATTGGACAAGTGAACATATCTCCATGGACCAATTTCCAGATCATATGGAAACATGCTTATCTTGTTGGGAAAAAAATTCCATTTTTAGATGTTCAAAAACCTTAGCATGTCTTGAAAACTACTTCCTACGTGGCCAATAGGATTCATTTCTATGTGGTAAAAGTTAACCAAAATTAATGGTGCCTTCCAATATTAGCGGAAATTTTTTTTTTATAAAACATGCCTGCTCTTTTTTTTTATTGCTACTTCCCACACTAAACTCTTATTTTGTTGCATTTTCTAACTATAATAATAAAGGGTGGTGATAGCTTTAAATATAAAACAGAGGAGTGTTACAGAAGTACAGACCCCACGCCCACCTCTTGTCTCCTTTCTGACACTCTGCCCTTTACCTGTATGAGAGCAGGGGCCCAACTGCAAGGGAAATGATGGGCACTAGTGGATCAGGGATTGGAAGTGGAGCAAGAGGAGAGTGTCCAGTTGCCCAAGAGAGAATGAGACAATTCCCCAACAACAATAAAAAAAAAATAAAAGGTAAAAATTGTCAATAACCCAAGAAGATGTATCCCCCTTCACCATAACCAGAGAAAAGCAAATTCTGACACATGGATATGGAGCTACTTTTGGCCTCCAGGACTACAAAGACAAAAATGAGTGACAGGACCTGATGTAGTAGGGTAAAGAGAGAGTGGGGATAAAGGACGGGGCTCGTGCCCTTGGTGGGAGTGGAAATTGAAGACCGAAGCTTACTGGCGATGCGGCCCTCACGTGACCAAGAGCTGACGTGGGCAAAGATACTTAAAGCCTTGACCGCCGTCCTCCGTCCTCCTCTGGGTACCAACTCTATTGCGCTACACACAGCCGTGCGTTTAACCCAGGCGAGGAGAAGGCAGAGGAGAAAATTTCCCCAGATCCGGGCAGGTGGGTGTGAGGGTGGGCATGGCCTGGCACCCCTGAAAAAGGTAGCCCCGTGATGCGGAAGTCTGAGGCCTGTGAGGCCGCGGGCCCCACCGCCTTGCCCGCTGCTAGCCCGCTTTCCAGACCCCCGCGTTCAGTCGCAGCTTATTTTGGTGGGCGACGGGGAGAGGGGGAAGAAGGGACCTAAAGATTCTGATATACTTGCAGAGAATCGCTTACCTCCTTTCTCACCCAGTGTTTTCTGGTTTTGTTTTTGACACTCCGGCCCTGCACTCCACATCTCGCCCTGTTTTGAGAGGAGGAGGGAAGAGAAATAAACGTGGCAGCGAATATAAGGACACTGGGGAGGCTGGGAAAGGGTGACCGGAGCAGCACGCAATTTGAAAACAATCCGGGCGGTTTACTTCCACCCTCACTTTGCAGATACCTCCCCGGGACCACCATTCCTGCACACTCCCCTCCCCCCTGGCCAGCCTCCTGCCCTTTCAGGGTGCTGGGAAATGGGTGCGCCAGCCTCTGTAGAGGAGATGGCGGGTTTTGCGCTGGCTGGGCTTCACAGGAGGGAGGATCCTGAAAGAATGTTATTAAACCACCATGCTAACTTCCAGGCTGCTTTCCAGACACCTTCGGCCCATACAGCCCTTCACCCCCATTTTTTCAGTCCTGGAAAAAGAGTTTGGGTATGCTGGCAGTAGAAATGGCGTTAACAGGCAATTTGGGCGGGGGGGAGGGGCGGGGATGGGTAGGAGGCGGCGCCCAGAACAGAGAAACAGTGGAAAATCACGACCCTCAAACCGAAACGGCAGACATTGGGGCTCCTGTTCCGTAGGCTAATACTAGGCCTGGGGGCTAGAGACTGAAGGACGAGTGGTCATAAAAGGGTCCACTTAATTGTTTGACAGTAATCCGTCGTCCCACGTCCCATCCCGCTTTCACTGCACCCTACCCCCGCCCCCTCCGTCTTCGGTGCAGGAGAAGGGGTGTGGCTGTGAGTCCCGGAGAAATGGCGGACTGGGGTGGGGGGGCAGCCGGAGGGAAGGAGGGGTGGAATGCCTGGGGAGTCTGCGCAGAAGTGGGGCAGATTGGGGTGGGAAGGGAGGGATGAGAAGAATTGGAATTGAGAGGTGGAACCATTTGTCATTCTGGTATGTGACTGCTAAAAGGCAGTTATTGGGACTCTTGTTCTGGGTTTGTTCCATCCACCAGTCTCCAACGTCTACTGTCTATATTTCTGCCCTTCAGTCTGTGCTTAGGATGAAGACCAAACTGAACTAAAGGAGGGAAAAACAGCCTTGAAACCTTGAAGGTCAGTGTTTGGGGGGCGGGGAGGACTGTCTGGGAACCCCTGTTGTGGGTGTAGCAAAAACCAGAGCAGAGTCTGGGACTATAGGCTACTCTTCCCCCATCTCCCTCTTTGCAAGACACGCTTGCCCTGGACATGTCCCTTTGGGTGCAGGGAAAGGGGTGCGGCTCTACCTTCTTTATTAATGGTTACAGTAGGATAGGATACAGATAGAAAGAAAAGGACTGTGAGGGAGAAACATGACCTACCGGGGTTCAAATCAAGAAAGGAAGTGGAATCCATCTACCAAAGGACCCAAAATGCCTTTTCTGGGATCTCTCTGCAGGTCTATCCGTCTTACTGGCCCTAAACAGCTACAAGCCTGGTGGAAAAAGGCAAACTGCTCCTACTCCCAGCAGGTTGGTATGTGCATGAACACCATCTGGAGACCCTTGGGGTTGGGGTGGGACGACCAGAACAGAATCCAGGATCTCTGCCGTCTTTACTGCTCTACACCAGCTTTCCTGATGTCAGTATTGCCTCTCGTCCCCCACTTAGGTGCTAGGAAATTGTATGTTGGAATTGGGCAGGGCAGTCTAGGGATGAAGGCATGGAAAACACTGGACAACCAGGGTCCTGAATCAGCAACACAGACCTCCACACCTGTGTCTGGGTAGTAGCTAATTCATCAAGATTTATTTCCCTAAACTCACCTCTAAGTAGGCCTGGTTAGACACAAATGATAGAGTTCTAAGCCTCATTTCTATCCTTTCGTCCAGGTCCTGCTTGGCTTGCAGCCTCTGCAGAACTTGTGAGCCTGAGCTGAACTCCCTTGCCCTGACGTGCATGCATCCCACTTGAGCAAGCCAGCTCCACACCTGGATCAGAGAATTATTCCAGCTGCACCATGAGCCGAGTTCGGGATGCTGGCTGTGTAGCTGCTGGGATAGTGATTGGGGCAAGTGCCTGGTACTGTGTCTACAAATATACCAAGAGAACAAACCAGACGAAGAAGAGATTGGCCAAGTCCAAGACCAGGGCTGTGACTGGGACTGTAACCAGGGCTAGAGCTGGACTAAGGGCTGGATTCACAATCAACCTTGGGCCAGGATTCGGTCCCCCAACCCTAGTCCACAGTAGGGCAGAGGACAAGGCCCAGGATGAAGCCTCTGCCCTGGATGGGGCTGGAGCTGAGGCAGAGGCCCCACCTGTATCCAGTGCTGAGGCTCAGAGTGGGTCAGGAAGACAGGCCCAGGAGGCAGAAGGGTCCAGGGTTGGGCCTAAGGCCGAATCAGTAGTTGAGGCAGAAGTGACTTCTACAATGGCGCCACCTCCCAGGGAGGCAGAGGCCCTCATGGCTGCAGAGGCTCTCAAATTGGCAGAAGCCCCTGGCACGGCAGAAGCTCCTGGGGTGCCAGTGGTGCCTCCTGGGATGCCAGTACCTACCGAGGCAGCAGCACCTACCGAGATGGCAGAGACTCCTGTACCGGCAATACCTACTGGGGCATCTTTTGGAGCAGCAGTGCCTTCTGGGGCAGCAGCACCTACTGGGGCTGCAGAAGTTCCTGGGACCTCAGGGTCCCCTAAAACATCGGCAGCTGCCAAGAAAGCAACCCTTGGAGCTCATACTGGGGCTATACCCAAGGCTGGGTCAGTAACTGGAGCTGTACCTAAAGGTGGAACCAAGGGTGGAACCAGGTCCCGGACTGGAGGCAAGGGCAAGGGCAAGAAAAACAACAAGGTTGATGTAGATGAATTGGGGCTAGGCTTCCGCCCTGGGGATGGTGCTGCAGCAGCTGCTGCCGCCTCAGCTAATGGGGGACAGGCTTTCCTGGCAGAGGTCCCTGATTCTGAGGAAGGGGAGTCTGGGTGGACTGACACAGAGTCAGAGTCAGACTCTGAGCCTGAGACCCAGCAGAGAGGAAGAGGGAGGAGACCTGTTCCCATGCAGAAGCGCCCCTTTCCTTATGAAATTGATGAGATTCTGGGTGTCCGAGATCTCAGGAAAGTCCTTGCTTTGCTTCAGAAATCGGATGATCCTTTCATCCAACAGGTAGCTTTGCTCACTCTGAGCAACAATGCCAATTATTCTTGCAACCAAGACACTATTCGCAAATTGGGAGGCCTCCCAATTATTGCAAACATGATCAACAAAACCGATCCCCACATTAAGGAAAAAGCCTTAATGGCCATGAATAACCTGAGTGAGAATTACGAAAATCAGGGCCGGCTTCAGGTATATATGAATAAAGTGATGGATGATATTATGGCCTCGAACCTAAACTCAGCAGTACAGGTAGTTGGACTAAAATTTTTAACAAACATGACTATTACTAATGACTACCAGCACCTGCTTGTCAATTCTATTGCAAACTTTTTCCGTTTGTTATCTCAGGGAGGTGGAAAAATCAAAGTTGAGATTTTGAAAATACTGTCGAATTTTGCTGAAAATCCAGATATGTTAAAAAAGTTGCTCAGTACCCAAGTGCCATCATCATTTAGTTCCCTCTATAATTCTTATGTGGAATCAGAAATTCTTATTAATGCCCTTACTCTATTTGAGATCATCTATGACAATCTCAGAGCAGAAGTATTCAATTACAGAGAATTCAATAAAGGTTCCCTTTTTTACCTATGTACTACATCAGGAGTGTGCGTTAAGAAAATTCGAGCTTTAGCAGATCACCATGACCTCTTGGTGAAAGTGAAAGTTATAAAGCTAGTGGATAAATTCTGATTGGTTATGTGCTCTCAAACGACTTGAAGTAATTTCTTGGTTTTGCAGTCTGGGAGCAATGAAAATTGAAAGTTACTGCTTTTCCACTTGCTCATATTGTAAAGGGATCCTTTGAGCTGCCAGTTTTGAATAATGTATTATCCAGAGTGATGTTATCTGTGACAGTCCCCAGCTTTAAGCTGAACCATTTTATGAATACCAAATAAATAGTCCTCTTATACTGAAAATATTTGTGACTTTAATCATGCTGCTTGAATGGAAATATTTTTACTGGTTCCTCTATGTAAATTGACAGTGAACCTGTCCATCATGAATAGCCTACACTTCTGTCATTTGTTTTGACTTGAATTTATCCACCAAAGATTTCATTTGTGTATCATCAATAAAGTTGTATGTTTTGACTGATGAAAAAAAAAATTGTTCTCATGCTTGAATTTAAAATCTAGCCAGAGAGATAAGGTTCATAAATACAAAAGAATTGCTAACAGTACCTGGGCATATACCCATTGTCAAATATATTCTACCTGGTTAAATTAAGCGGAAGTTGCTAGAAAGCTTCAAAGAGGAAGGGCACACTTAAGCTGGGCCCTGGGGGACAGCATGAGAAAGCAGAAGGGCATTCCAAGAGTGGGAAATGGCTTGAAGAAAGGCACAGAGGTGGAAAGTCTGTTCCTGTGATAGGAAGGTAACCAGTTTGCCTGGAATAGAAACCATAGGAAGAGGAGTGATGAGAGCGATAGGTGGAAATGTAGAGTGAGGAAAGTTTCAGAAAGATCCTGACCCCAAGCTGAGATACTGAAATATCCCATCATATTCTGGGAATTACTGGATATTTTTGACAAAAGGAAAACTAATCTGGTGGCAATGTGCAAAATGGATTGGAGCTGGGCCTGGGTTAGGTGTGGAGACTGGAAACAAGAACATTTGTTAGTAACTTAGGGTGAGCCAAGTGTGAAATGAAGAATGAAATAACATGATGACTATAGAAACTGTTGGAGAATGATGATAATAAGAGACTCTTTAAAGAAAAGTACCAATATCTGCTTTGGCTGTTGGTCAACAGACAGGGAGGATAGTATGATCTGATGCGGGTCCTGACAGAGAAAGCCCTCTTTCTTGGGCACTTCTGGTGAGCAAGTAATATCAAAGTGAGTTACTATTTCTAATGATGAGAAAATGCAGTGTGACAGATAGAATGACTCTTGGTACAA